TTTTTTTTTTCAGAGCATCAGAAGCTATTTTCCCAAAAACAACCTTTTAAGTGCTGAATCACTTGCCTTTTTGATTGTCTGCCCTCAGGGAAATTAATGAAAGCATCAAAACTTGAAAGTAAAATCTAAAAAACTTAAATAAACGGCAACAAGTGGCTAACTCACCTAGTTTAGATATTTAGCTTCTTTTATTTCTTTGGTATAATTGAACACATCCTGCCAGTGGTGGAAGACGTATTAATAAACTCTGCTTAAGTAAAAGCAGCTATTTACATTACATTCATATTATATTTAGTTACATTATGACTTGTAAGCTTACTTGTATATCAGTGCTTTCTTTTATTTATAAGATGTTTTTCTTTTGTTTGTAAAATCTCAGTCTGCAGTGAGATAACTAGTAACTGTAGCTGTCGAATGAATGTAGTGGAGTAAAAAGTAGGCAACAATATTTCCCTATGAAATGTAGTAGAGTAAAACTATATAGTACCAGAAAATGGAAGTACTCAAATTGTACTTATGTACAGCACTGAGGTGCAGATAAAAGTCCCATATTTTACACTTTTCCAATGATTTATTTGACGTTTTGATCCATAAGCAGATATATTTGTGGTTTTAAGAACCAAAAACCATCTCGGTGTAGTTTTACATCTCCTCTCTCAGGCCTCTCTCTGGAACTCTAGCAACAACAGGTTGGTGAGCCAATCAGAGGAGAGGATCTGAGCCTCTTTTCAGATTTTTCTGACTGTTTTCTGGGTGATCGAATAAAAATATAGCAGATTTCAGGTAAACGCTCACAAATCCTGCAAAGTTGCATGGTGAGTCCAGGTGCGCAGGGCTTGGGGCATGGCTGAGAGCAGTGACTGTTGTGACATCACAAGTTCCAGAAGTCCTGACGGCTGGTTTTAAGGCTCAGTTTCTGAATACAGGCTGTGTGTATTTAACTGTGGACTGAGCGCTTTGATACTTTCACAGCATGTGAATTTATTTGAGTATTCTTCCAGACCTGCTTTGAAATAAAAAAAACACATGGAAATTTCACTTTATTCAATATGAGACCTTTAAAGCTGTTTGAAGCAACTATGTGTATCACATTATCCTGTCCACTCAGTTTTATATGGTGCAGTGGTTTTAGCACTTCATCAGTTTGAATTTCATTGATTCTTATTCACACTGAAAACATGGTGTTATCTTCCCTCTCTTCCAGGTGAGCCCTTTGTTCTTTTCATCTTATCAGACACTTTTGTCTGACCCATCTGCCTCCATGGTCCTCATCTCCAGAGAACATGGGGAGGGGAGTCCAATCAACCCCTCAACCCTCCAATTCCCTCACACCACCATCCCAGAAAAATAAGGTCACTTCAAGTCACTGATAAATGTGCCCTCCATGCTGCCTCTTTAAGCCTCACTGCAGAACAGAGCTGCAGATTGAGTCGGGCAGCTGGATGGTTGCAGGGATAACTTGTGCCCAGCTGCTCTCTGGCTTGAATTCTCCTCAGGGCCACCAGTCACCTCACGTGCCGTAGCACACAACCTTGTGTCACCCTCTCATCCTCATGAGAGGCAGCAGGCCGGTGGGAGGCTGGAAACACTGTGGGGGAGAAACAAGTAGCGGTAGACAAGCTGGTGGTGAAAGTGTTGAGTGATTTGTAATGCAGGTGTCATTTTTACTCTGGTTTGATTATTGTAAAAGTCACATTCAGTGATAACTATAAATCATATTTGATCCCTGTTTTATCTTTATCTGCAGTTTTATCTTTTAGAAATTTCTTTTTTTTTTTCAGAGCATCAGAAGCTATTTTCCCAAAAACAACCTTTTAAGTGCTGAATCACTTGCCTTTTTGATTGTCTGCCCTCAGGGAAATTAATGAAAGCATCAAAACTTGAAAGTAAAATCTAAAAAACTTAAATAAACGGCAACAAGTGGCTAACTCACCTAGTTTAGATATTTAGCTTCTTTTATTTCTTTGGTATAATTGAACACATCCTGCCAGTGGTGGAAGACGTATTAATAAACTCTGCTTAAGTAAAAGCAGCTATTTACATTACATTCATATTATATTTAGTTACATTATGACTTGTAAGCTTACTTGTATATCAGTGCTTTCTTTTATTTATAAGATGTTTTTCTTTTGTTTGTAAAATCTCAGTCTGCAGTGAGATAACTAGTAACTGTAGCTGTCGAATGAATGTAGTGGAGTAAAAAGTAGGCAACAATATTTCCCTATGAAATGTAGTAGAGTAAAACTATATAGTACCAGAAAATGGAAGTACTCAAATTGTACTTATGTACAGCACTGAGGTGCAGATAAAAGTCCCATATTTTACACTTTTCCAATGATTTATTTGACGTTTTGATCCATAAGCAGATATATTTGTGGTTTTAAGAACCAAAAACCATCTCGGTGTAGTTTTACATCTCCTCTCTCAGGCCTCTCTCTGGAACTCTAGCAACAACAGGTCGGTGAGCCAATCAGAGGAGAGGATCTGAGCCTCTTTTCAGATTTTTCTGACTGTTTTCTGAGTGATCGAATAAAAATATAGCAGATTTCAGGTAAACGCTCACAAATCCTGCAAAGTTGCATGGTGAGTCCAGGTGCGCAGGGCTTGGGGTGTGGCTGAGAGCAGTGACTGTTGTGACATCACAAGTTCCAGAAGTCCTGACGGCTGGTTTTAAGGCTCAGTTTCTGAATACAGGCTGTGTGTATTTAACTGTGGACTGAGCGCTTTGATACTTTCACAGCATGTGAATTTATTTGAGTATTCTTCCAGACCTGCTTTGAAATAAAAAAAACACATGGAAATTTCACTTTATTCAATATGAGACCTTTAAAGCTGTTTGAAGCAACTATGTGTATCACATTATCCTGTCCACTCAGTTTTATATGGTGCAGTGGTTTTAGCACTTCATCAGTTTGAATTTCATTGATTCTTATTCACACTGAAAACATGGTGTTATCTTCCCTCTCTTCCAGGTCAATCCAGAGCCAACATGATACCACTGAAACAACCACGCAACACCAAGGCATCCAACGACACCTTGGCCTCCATCGACCTGGACGGCCTCGCTGACCAGCCAGCCCCCAAGGCCACACCACCACCACTACCTAAGAAGGCTGTACCTCGATCCAGTACTGAACCCAGCCTGGGAGGCAAAGAGCCAATGCAGGGAGCCCTGAGACCTCGGGCTGAGGCTAAACCTGGGGGCACCAATCTCAGTGTGGCCAACCCTCTGTACGACTTGGACTCCACCTGGGAGACAGCTAGTCAGAGCTCCTCTCTCAGCTCCGAGCCTCATCGGCCCCACAACCATGAAAGCGGTGACTCCCTAGAGAGGCCATCGGTTGCCGCGGCCACCAACAAGGGCCGCCCGACTAACAGCCCGTCCTCCCTGGTTCCTCAGCCTGCATCTGCTGCACCCAGTGGCACCACTGGCAGAGAGAGGAGGGCCTACCCAAGTACAGAGTCTCTGGCTGGAAGGGGTCGGACGACAGGCAGAGGTGGTGTTGCTGGAGGAGGAGGAGGTTCCAAACCCCAGAGACCTGCTCTTTACAGGGGTTTGGACAGCTGGGATGAGGTGGTGGGCAGGATTCGGGGTCTCCACACAGACACGCTGCGGAAGCTGGCAGCAAAGTGTGAGGACCGTTTCATGGCTGGCCAGAAGGATCACTTGAGATTTGGCACTGACAGCTGGTCCCACTTCAGGCTGACTACTGGGAAACCCTGCTGCGAGGCGGGGGATGCTGTTTACTACACTGCTTCCTACGCCAAGGACCCACTGGTCAACTATGCCATCAAGGTGAGATGTCCAGTTCTGTTTATAGATCAGTTTCTCCTGCCAAGTTACCACTTCTGCTTTGATGCACAGTATAATACTGTTTGACTTTTGCCAGGCGGAGGATACCAAAGATAAAATGTTTTCCTCGTATTTGGACGCTGGGGAGATGTAATTAAACCTCTTTTAAGCTTACTGAAATTTACCACACGATGCCCCTTTTGATTTTTTTTTTTTTTTTTTTGCTTGTGTCTACATTAATTAATTCCGGTGAAATAATTTAGTGGTGTGCTGTATAACTGCAGTGATTAGTTGATTAAACGAGTGAATTGGCAGAAAATGTATTATTAATTTGTAGATGAAATAATCATTTTGATAATCAGTTACAACTTTTCTTGTTTCAGCTTCTCCACTGTGAGAAATGTAATATCTGCTGAACCGGATAGATGTGACTATAAGAGTCACAGACTGTCTGTTTTGATAGCATTGATATAATAATGACTTCATTTAGAGCGGTTTATGCAAAGTCATACTAAATGCCATACATTGCATGTAAAATTTAAAATTTTTAATCAAGGTATGACCATGTAACACTGACTGACTGCACAAACTGAGCTAGTTTGTCTCACATCTCTGTCAAATTATATACAGCTCCTCCCTATGGGCCTACACCTCAGGAAAGCTGTAGTCTATAATATATACCTTTACAAGAATCTTACAACAAATATTTCATTTTCACCATTTGAATATATTTTTTTGTGTGTCTGTGTATGTTTTGGCGTCCTTGCTTTGCAGTCTCCCAGCGTCGAGAAGACTTTTAGATGAATTTGGAGACTGGTGATCGCTGTCCTTTCGGCAGATTTATTAAATCCTTGTATTTTCTCCTCCCACTCGCTTAGCTGAGGTGGAGGATTGTGTTTGTGCTGAAATATTAGCACTTAAACTTTGAGCCTTTAGGGCACAACCTTGTGCAATAAGACGTGTGTGAATGTGTTTTTTTTTTTTTTATATATACACAATTGTGTGGGGGTAGCAGTTTTGTCTGCATGCATTAGTGTGTGTGTGTGTGTGCCTGTGTGTGTGTGTGTGAGAGAGAGAGAGAAAGAGACAGAGTAGAGGGGGGTGTGGGGGTTGGGGGCAGAGCTTGCTGGAAGAGTTCTGAAGCTAAATACAAAGCAGATATGGATGAAGGTTGCATTATTCACAGGATATGAAACTCTCTATGCTCCACAGCACTTCAAAGCTTCGCCTTCATATTAGCAGCAAGCTCAAGAGAAAGTCCTGTTTTTTTATGATGCTCATCCATAAATAAGGGAATCAGGAGCAGCAGAAGCAGCAGAACACAAACACTTCCCAATTAAACTTTCCCCAACTCTCCATTTTAATGTGGCCCAGTTGCACTCCTGCCTCCCTTAACTCCCGTACATGGAGCTGATCCTCCTGCAAATGAGATTTTGCACGCTGTGATATTTTTAATGCGGCGCTAATTATTCATAATCCACCTTTAGCATGTCTGTGTGAAGTCCTAACTCTCCGATGAATTCGGCAAGTGACTCGGTGTGCTTTAAAGCTTCACGGTGTCCCTGAAATGTCGACCTGGAGCTCTGTGTCACAACCGGCAATACTTCTGCAGAATGTGGTTTCTTAACCATGAAAAGCCTATAGATGTTTTCAAAGAATGATCAGTAGGCAGCTGTAGTCTCAGCCAACATGTCTAAACAAACATCCTGTGAACATTGTACATTCCTACAGAGCTGCACACTGTCTTCACTGGTGCAGCGTTTTCATTCCACATGACAATCTAATATACTGTGCATAAATTATGCCAAAGTGCACCAAGTTTAAAGTCGGTCTTGGAAGTAATAAAATGAAATGATTGAGGTAGTAGCAGTCATAAAAAGCCACACACACACACACACACACACACAAGGTTTTATTGCAGCCTTGTTCAGAGCCATTTTCTCATATGAACTCTGGACAGTATCTGGAGAATGAGGTCCAGACATTGTTTGGAGTTGGCCTGTCACACCTGTAGCACACAGCAGGAGATTGTCCGTGTCTGACGGGGTCTCACCTACTGGAAATACTGTTTGGTTTAGGCGAGCGATGGCGCCTGGGCAGAGCGTGCAGGAGGCAGGCAGGACAGAAACGTCACCAACATGCCCACTCGCTTACAATGACCTGCTCAGTTCACACATCGGCTTGATTGGACATTACATGGACTTTGTATTAGGGCTGGCAGGGTAAAGTCCGTTAAATGTCCGGTCCAACTGATTCAGACATTTGCATAGACTAGATAAGTTCAGGGTTGCACTACATGTTACTCAAAGACAAACACCTTTAGCAGGGCTGTGATTCAATATTATTATGTATGAACTTTTAATCGTGATGATAATATGATTTTGCTTTACAGAAATATGTTGTCCAAATTAACAGTTCCAAGGGAAATATAATTTAAAACTAACAAAATTACTTTTTTATGACCCGTGTGACTTGTTTAGTCTAAAAGCAGAATGTAGCTCGCTACATTAATAATTTGGTCTCAGTTAAGTGTAATTTTTCGTACATACGCCATGTCGTGATTCATATCAACAGTGACTGTAGCTTAGAGTGGGTCAATCATAGGGTAAGTGGATATTGGTTTGATTCCTGGCAAGTGTCCTTTAGCAAGACACTAAACCCCATAATGCTCCCAATGTGGCGTATGTAAACGTACTGTAAGTCAGTTGCACAAAAGATTGTAAGATAGTTTTGACAAAATGTATGTAATATTGCTATATATAATACTGATGGTTGTTTGATTTTATGTTCTGCATCATTTTTTCAAATCAAGATTTTCAAGAAAATTGACATGCAGCACTGCAGAGGTGTTTCACTGTCCGTCTACACGTTGAAGTCCTTTTTCTTATGAGAGAAATAAGCTAAACACACAAAACCGATGAACACAATTCTGAACCAAATTCAACCTCAAGGTCCCGGATGAAGGTCATTTACTTCCTTAATATTATATCTGTTGGGTCAGTAAATGAATTCTGAATCTACACATTACTTTCTAACGTTATTTTGACAGTGATATGTTTGCTCATGTTGATCATGTCAAAAAAGTGAACCGGAAAGATCGCTATTAATTCTTAATTTGAAAAAAAGTTGTTCATTGTTCGACTTTAAAAGCCTTAGTAATGTATCATGACTTCTTTCCCTTCGTTGGTATTTTAGTGCCTGTTGTTGCGTCTGCAGAGACTGATCCTATCCTTGACTTGGCTTCTCCTCTGTGCTGTGATCAAAGTGTGGAGAGACAGCGAGCTGCAGAGGGTGTCACTGTGGTTTAGGAGACAGTGACACTCTCTCCCTGCTGTCTATGACAGCCTGGAGTCTGCTATCTGCTTCTCTCGGCTCTATACAGTGCATCATTAACGGCATGAGCTGAAATGTTCTGGAGAGAGTGAGCGGGACAGAGAGTTTTGAAAGAAACAGAAAACATCTTTGATCTTCGAGTCCTCCAGTGCATTCTTTGCTAAATGGGTGTATTTTGTTCCTGATGATGCAGAAGGTTACAGTTTGTTTAAAAGTCTCCCAGGGCAGTCGAGGGGCAATTTCTGTTGTTGGTAGAGTTTATTTTATTTTATTTTAATTAATAAAGATAAAGATAAGATAAAGAAAGATACTAACATCACCTTTTATAATTAAAAAGTTATTGGCAACCATATTAACAGTGATGTGTTAGTCTGTCCTTGAGTACTCTCTGACTTCCCTCCCCTGTCTGCCACAGCCCCAAACCCATTTATCCCAACTGAAGATGTAAAACTTTAAATTTAGAATAAAAACCATATAGAATATCACATAAGAATAACATATCAAGGTTCACAAACCTTGTCATGTTTTTTGTTGACAAAAACAAATTTATTGAATATCTCCAGTCTTTATTTGTATTTTCGCAGATTGTTAATTCTGCAGTAGTTTCTCAGCTCAAACACAAAACTTGCATCAATATTCACGTTCTTTTCTCTTTCTTTGTTTATCTAGATCTGTCGGAGCAAAGTGAAGGAGACCCAGCAGCAGTTTTTCCACAGCCTTGCAGTGAGACAGAGCCTGGCTGTGCATTTCAACATCCAGCAGGACTGCGGACACTTCCTGGCTGACGTCCCCGCCCGCCTGCTGCCCTGGGAAGAGGAAGAAGATGAGGAGGAGGAAGAGGAAGAGGAGGAAGACGTAAACGGGCTGAAGGAGAAAGAGAAAGAAGCTAAGACGGAATCCAAGACGACGGACACCAAAGCTCCAAATAGTAAATTAGATGAAACCCCAGCAGCAGGTCACATGAACACTGCCGGTCGCTTGCGGAGCCGAGTGGTGGTCATCACACGTGAGGTGCCCTTCCAGACGGTAGCGGACTTTGTCCGAGAAGGCGTGGCCCGACACACTCATAACCCGGAGCTGTACGAGCGTCAGGTCTGTCTCCTCCTGCTCCAGCTGTGCTCCGGCCTGGAGCACATGAAACCTTATCACGTGACCCACTGTGACCTGCGACTGGAGAACCTGCTGCTGGTCAACTGCCAGCCCGGCAGCCCCTGGAATCTGGACTTACTCGAGCCCAACAACAACAGCAACAGCAGCAGCTCTGGTGCCACCTCTGCCGGTGCTGCTGCTGCCGCTGCCAACGCCACATGCCCCGCCCGCCTCATCATCAGTAACTTCTCCCAAGCAAAGCAGAAGAGCGCTCTCATGACAGCTGACCCTGGTACACTGCGTGACCAGTCCCGCCTGGCACCTGAAATCGTCACAGCTACTCAGTACCGCAAATGTGACGAGTTTCAGACTGGGATTCTCATCTATGAGATGCTGCACCGGCCCAACCCCTTTGAGGAGACACCGGAGCTGAAGGAGTTCGAGTACACCTGGGCGGACCTGCCGCCGCTGCCGGTCAGATCGCTCTACTCACAGGGCCTGCAGCAGCTGGCCAGGTTACTGCTCACCGTCAACCCCTCTGAAAGGATCCGGATGTCCGAGGCCCGCGCTTGCCTGCAGTGCCTCCTCTGGGGCCCTCGGGAGGACTTGTTCCAGGCTCTGGGCTGCAGCAGCACAGGCCCCATGTCAGGGGCCACTTCCAGCCAGCGTGAGGCCACCCTCCAGAACTGGCTGGACCTGAAGCGGACACTGATGATGATCAAGTTTGCGGAGCGCTCGCTGGACACGGCTTGCGGTGTAAGCCTGGAGGACTGGCTGTGCTGCCAGTATCTGGCGTTCGCCACCACAGACACCCTGAGCCGGGTGGTGCACATCCTGCAGCAGCCGCAGCCGCATCCTCAGTCCCAGAACCAGAACCAGCCGGCGCACCCAGCACAGAACCAAACTCAGACCCAAACACATCTAGCACACACCTTCCACCTGACTCAGTCACAGCCACTCTGAGTTCCTCTTCCCAACTGTTACTATGGCAACAGATCCAACTTCCCCCGTGTGGTCCCTCTGCTGACGTTAAAGTGTGATGTAAGCTAATAGTCAGCTTTGTTGTTGCAGCAGCCACAGGGCTCACCTAAAACTAATCAGCTGGTTGTGCAATGTCTGTGTTTTCTTCATGGACAAATCAATCCACAGAGCGAGAGGCCGTGTTCCCATCAAACAGCTTCATGACCAGGGTTATTCATAGCAACAAGATTAGCAACCGCACGATGCTCAGGAGTCCGGCAAATTAAGTGGCTGTCTGACTTCGTCCTCAAATCCAGCCCAAGACAAACTGAAACATTATAGCAAGTTGATTTCATTTTGGCTCGTGGGAGTGAAGCGGTAGACGTTCAGTCAATCTGTGTCTGTAGCTTTTCACTTCTCACATATGTTAGAAAAGTAAACCAGAGCTGGACTGGAGAGATGTGTGAGGGAGTTCTAGATTTTTCAGTTTTTTTCAGCCACGTTCTTAAAGACCACAGACTTATCAGCTCTGTATATTAGATACAGTTTGCAAGGCAGCTGCCTCTGTGCTTAATTGAAGAGTGTGTCAAATGGAATAAATTCAAGGTTTTATATCATTACATATGAATATTTCACACAAGCTTCACCAGACATCTAAAGATACGCCGCGGTTAGATTTTTGGAGGAAAGTTGAGATGGCATCAGAAGTTTTTTATCCCAATTATTTAGGCCCTTATCACATAGAGTTGTTTTTGTTTTTTTAAGCAACAATTCACTCTTGAAAAGATGCAGATTTGAAATCTTTAAGTGAAATGAAGGGAGATCATTTGAAATGAAGGCAGTGGGGAATAAAGGAAAACAAACTTCCCGATGATGGATTTGTCTCCAAAATCAAATCTAAACAGGGTGATATATCATTTTTTTTATCTTGACTGATGAAATGTGTTTTTCCACTGAAGCCAAAGATCTGCCACAGACGGTCCATTTGGAGGCTTTAAAGATACTTCTGCACATTTAAACCAGAGATGTTTATTTCAGTTTATTACAAAACACAGTAAGACATGATTTAACAGTAACTAGATTTTTGATTGGTTAGTCCCAGTGTTTGCACAGACTCCCTTCAGATCAGTTAAATGTCACACTTTATGGTTTAAAAATTCAAAAGCCAACCAGGAGTTGAGTTTAACAAACATTACAAACAATGCTGTTGCATCACACCATAATTCACACTTCTTAACTGGGCTTCGGACGAGGGAGGTGATGAACACTGAGCTTGAGCTAATTTTGGCTTAGCAGTTTTCAGAGCACAGTTAACAAGTTTGAGACGCTTTGAAGCTAAAATGGGACACAACTGCCCCGGCTGTGGGTTTGGTTTCTCGTCGGAGTATGTGCAATTATTATCTTTTAGTTATGTCCTCTTGGAGGTAACGGTGGATGAACGTTGTTATGACATTATGCAGTCTTTTACTAATCCTCTCTTCCATTAGTTTTGTGGCACATAAACTGATTCGTTTCAGTTAAATCCTGCAACTTTAGAAACAAAGTGAATCTCGGTGTGAAGAACTTCTCACGGTGGAGAGGAGACGGAGATGTTTCAGGGACTGCAAAAAGTTCTTCTTTTGTCTATTGTGTTGTTTTTGTCAAGTAGTTTTTGAACGGTTCTGCGTTACAGATGACTTTTGCACATTCAGTCTGAACGTTGGTGCTCCTCGATGGAGACTGAAGACATGATGATGATGATGATGATGATGATGATTGATGATGGTGATGATGATGATGATGATGATGACGATGCAGGAGAGACTCAGAAAAGTTCCCGTGAATTTGAGGAACTGGATTTGATTTGTTTTGCAGCGTGTGGAATGTAAACGTTTTGCCTGGACTGAAACAGACATTTGGACTCTGGTCTCGTCGGCTCCCGAACACACTCATCTTCCAACTGAACCACTTTGTTTCACATTTAAACTCTTTGTGTAATAATCAACCTCGCAGAGAAACTACTCAACCACTGGGACTTCCATTCCTCCGGCCTAGTTTCCCGTCCTCCTGTAGTTCTCTGGCAGCACATCCTGTCTTGATGCTCCCTGCTTGTCACTCAAACGATCTGTTCTGCTTTAATTAAATGAGCTGTGTGTTATTGATCAGCACCTTCCCGCCTGGGGTCAGTGGAAGCAACACAAGCCTCAGCTTCCCCATAAAAGAAACATTTCGAGTTACATGCACATGGGTTAATTTGTGGTTATGATGAGCAATCACCTTCAAACTGACACTGCAGAAAGGCTTCGCATCTACACGTTCACTTCATTTTGCTCTGATTAAGTTTTTCTTTTCATATCCAGCAGTTCAGCTAGTCACGGGGGGGGGTGGGGGCGTCAGGATCCTGTGTTTGTTTTACTGCAGATGTACAGAACAAGACTTAATGGTCCACGGAGTGAAAATGAGACAAAGCAGGTGTGAGTTTGTTGGTTTGTGTACTGAGGAATGTGTGTGGACGGCACTGGTGGCTGTCCTTGTATTTAGAGATTTAAGCCTTTATATATTATATATAGTATAAATATATATAACCTTTATCTATTTTAATCCACACACTATTTTGTCGAGTACGGAGCACCTGTATTTCTGTCTTTAGAGTCTAATTATCATTTATTCATTTTTAAAGCTTTACTTGACTTTCTTCAACCTCGCTCGTTCTGGGGGAAGAAAAAGGTGAGTAGTTATCACTGTCCTGAACAAAGGATAAATGAAAAAGATCTTATTCTTCAATTGCATTATTATACAGAACAATGTACAGTATTTTTACCCCCCCTTGTAAAGAAAAAAGAAAAAATTACCTGCTTAGGAGATGAACCACTTTGAGAAGAGGCTGAAGGACGACGCACCGTTAAAACCCAGCATCCGTCAGCTGTACGACTTGCAGCACATGTTGCTTCTTTCGCCCTCTCTTTCTCTCTTTGCTCTGGTTTTTCTCTCTGCATTGTTAATTGCCACTGAACAGAAAAACAGAAGCTCTCCGTGGCTTTCTATTGATATGTGTACAGTATGTCTCCTGGCCTGCCGCCATTTATTGTTGATCAAGTTAACCAACAGTAACAGAACAATAAATATATGTTTTTATAGATAAACTTTGTGCCATTGTCTTCTTGGTGCTGTGGTTTTTTGCTTGATTTGACCCTGAAGTGGAAAAATCAATAGAAACTGTTGGAACTGGACGGATTGTAAAAGGGAGGTCAGTCATTACTTTAGTAGATTTTTTTATGCATTTTTAGTCATTTTTAAAGTCTATTTCACTGTCACTCAATTCTTTATTACATAATGTAAGTTATGATTTTAGGATGAAGAATAGCTTGTGCAGTGAAAGCCTTTGTTTCCACTCATTTTGGACCTGAACTGATTCGAGTGTGTCACAGATTTCAGCAAAAAAAAAAAAAAAAAAAAAAAAGAACCATCCTCAAGCCTTGGGCTGACAATGAGCCTTTAAATTATTTACAGTGACCATACTAAAACTGGAAACATATTAATCATTTCAGTGGTTTGGAACATCGACCAGATCTCTGTGATTTTTTTTTTTTTTTTTTTTTTTTCTCTTTTAAACTCCAGAGAAACCTGAAATCTCAAGTGTTTCAATTTGACTTTTCTTTCACGGTAAATTTTAAGAACTTGCTCATCCCTTTTCTTGGCAGACGTCCATCTCTGTATCTTAAAGATGAGGAAGTTCCCGCACGTCAAGAGAGTTATTTATTTATTTATTTATTAAATCTTCAGTTTGAAGCTGCATCAATGGATGTTTCCAGAATGTTAGATTTCAGATTGAAAGGTTTTCTCTCTGACGTAGTTATAATGCCAAACAGCAACACCAAAGCCCCGCTCACCGTTGATCTGCTATAAATTTTTTTGGGAGGGGGGGGGCCTTAACAAAATATAATGTGTGTACCTTTACTAAATTATTTTGATGGTAAGTACGATTTATAAACCTCTAACCTAAGTTCCTGCAACATTTCATCATGTTCGTCTTTTTTCGAACACAAAGTCGAGAGAATAAAAATGATTGTTCAGGCCAAATGAAATAGTTTTTCTGCAACACATGCACGAGTCGTACACCGGCTCTGGGAGGTCTGTGTCCTTTCATCTGGGCCTGACCATGGGAGTATTTCTGTCACTACAATATCTCCACCACCAGATGGAGACATTAAAAAGGCAATGGAAAAACCATGATGCAGTGCCCTCCTGCTGTTCAGCCTCATATCTGACTGCTACAGCGTTCACTTTGGCTTTCATGTGTGGCCACATTCACTTCAGTGTGTAGTAAAGGCTGTGTAAACATGCTGTATGAATTGTACTGTACAAATATGAAAGCAAAGATGTTTATTTACAGCGCCTCGTGTGAATCTGCTATTGATGAAAGTCATTCAGCGTGAAGCAAAAAGATGAGATTATCCTGTCTAGACTGAGATTATACTCTTATCTAACATAATATGTTTTAGCTGCTGCTTCTTGAATTGAAAATGAGAAAAGGACCCAAGATAAAACATTTCCCGTCCACAGCACCTGCCTCTGTATCTTACAGTAACAGCTTCAGGATGCAGGTGAGTTTCATGTTATCTGAGGTTGCATGTCGACAGAGAGAGAGACAGATTTGTTTGATCAGCCTGCACCTCTGCTGACAAAGTCGTATTTTAATCTCAGTTCCTGTTCCCAATGTCTGTTTGCTTTTCTGTGGCAGCTCTGCAAGCTGAGGGCAAACCTTGATGTGGTCACTGTGGACTCCTGTCAGTGCAACGCAGACCACATGATTCAAGCTGAAAACCGCATCTGCATCCAGACAAATCACTGTTCACGTCACTTACCTGACGGGCGACAAAAGTCAAGATTTACTGCTGCGAAATTTCCCAACTGGGGGAATTAAACTCAAAGTAAGATTGTTCACTGGGAAGTGTTTCGCATCTCCTCCTTCATAAACTGTCCTAATCCACTGCAAGAGGCTGTGGTGAGTGTTTCCTGTGGCAGGGATCATGACATTCATCAGGCTGGAGCCAGAGTGATGCTCCAGAAGGTTTATTACCTGGATCAATAATCGAGTTGAATGAGGTCAAAGCAGGCCAAACTGAGGGTCAGAGGACCTGCAGAGGTGCCTGCAGGGGTGCTGCAGGGCGTCCTCAGCAGGCAGCAACGGAAGAAGTACACATATCTGTTTTATACTGTAGATAAAAATAAAAGTACCTCAGTGATGATTTCCCTGGAAAGTGCGGTTACGGTTTTTCAATTTTCATTTAACTTCCTGTCCTGACGTGTCCTCCAGGTAATCAGTAAATGACTGTGGAGGTGTGTTTAAGATGCAGACTGGCAGAGATGCAGTTAATGTTTGTCATAAAGGACAGATGGAACAGTAAGAGCAGGGTGAGGATGAGATGAGAGGAAAGAGTGGTGGAGTAACTCATGGACATGTGGTGGAAAGTAGAATAGTACAGACATATTGTACTTTTTAATCCACTACATATATGTGACAGCTGTAGTTAGTTACTTTGCATATTCACATTATTAAAACTAAATATAATCAGCAAATAAATCATAAGTTTACTCAAGTAAAACTTTTTAATGCATGACATAACAGAGTATTTCTACCCTGTGGGCTTGCTACCATTATTTATATAAAAGATGAGTAGTTCTTCCACCACTGCTGCAGGCTGGAGGTTGCATTTATGCAACTTGCACAGTAGTTTCACCTCTCAACTGGAGAACATGAACTTTGATTGTGCATCACACTTTAGCCTCTTATCCAAATAGTTCTCCTATTTTTTTTTAAAACGCAAAACTGTTCAGCAGCTTATTAACATGTCTGAGAAATCTCATAATTTACTCATGGAAGATAAAGTGGCTTTCAAATTCTCTAAGGGGCATTGTAAGGAGTAAGTGATGCCTTTATTAATGGCTAATAAATCATTTATTAGAGGTTTTAAAGGTCCCTGTGGCTGGTGTTGTTCCTGGAACATAACACAGTCTGACTGTTCTGATCTTTGCAGAAGAAATAAAGAATTTATTAACAATTAATTAGGCTATCTGTTACAATGTATACAGGCTGGACAGCCTTATTAGAAAGTGGCACTTGAAAATTTGACTCACCAACTAAGTGTAATGTGTTGTGCTGTGGTTTGCACTGCATGGCAGCAGGGTGAGGAGCACTTCCATTTCCCTTTAATTTTTTACCTCTGGGGAATGCCTGGATGAGAGGGTGAATAAAGATGAGTGTGTTGCTATCAGAGGTGTCATCACAGCACCCTGCCCACCTCCAGTACAGACAGTTATGTAATTTCACACTGAATCATCCCTGACAGATAAACATCTCAGAGGAAGGAGGGAGGAGGGAGGAGGAAGGGGGGGGGGGGTTGTTCTTGGGACAGGGTTTGATCACCTTTGGGGTCAGGGGGTTCTGTGGGCGACACTTGAAAAAAGTTTGGGTGTCCCTGAACACACCTCCAACCCAGGTCTCCCCCCGCCGTGCACACCCGTTGCGTAATATCAGGCTGTGTTGTGTGTTTGTGCGTGTGTGCGTGCGTGCGTGCAGCAGGCAGGTCTCCTCCAGTGCTGCTGTTGCTGCTGTGGAGCCGCGGAGGAGGAGGCGGTGGTCGTGTTATTGAGCGGCCCGACGGTGGAAGTTGCGCTGCAGGGGTGGGACTCTGTTTCTGCAGTCGGTCGGTCGGGGGTGAGCTTCGAATCGCACAGAAATGCCTCTGGCAGCAGCTTCCCAGACTCCGGCGAGCAGCAGCAGAGTCAGACGGACACCTCGGAGCTCAAGATAAACACTCCTCCTCCTCCTCCTCCTCCTCCTCCTTCTCCTCCTCCTCCTTCTCCTCTTCCTCTCCTTCATCTCTCTCGCTCCTCTTCCTCCGCCAGCTGGCCACGTCTGAAAGCTCCTGGATGCGCTGAAACGGAAGGAGTGCTAACGCCGTTTCCCTCCCCTCCTGCACCCCTTGTATACATAGACCGGACCGGCACCGGTGTCATTGGATGGAGAGAGGCGCCTGAAGAAGGGAGAGCGGTGGAGTTGGTCAACCCCCCTCCTCCTCCTCCTCCTCCTCCTTCCTCCCTACTGCACCAAAAGAAAACTCCGGGTAAGAAATGCGTGCTCGCTCAGGCCATTTGGCTCCATCGTGCACCTGCCATGAGCCGCTGCGCTCCCGCACTTCTCCGTGCGTTAACATGCAACATGCATCATGGCGAGACTTGGGACTTGCATGCGTCTTTTGTTCTCCTCTGGTTCTGGTTCTTAGTGGTCAGTGAAGGGATTCATTTAAAGCGTGTGAGCCATTAGCTGCGCTTGTGAATGCATCTCAGCAGACGGGATGGCAGGCGGGTTTTTTTTTTTTTTGGTTTTTTTTTCTGGCACAGCATTTCCGCGACACTTCTCCCTCTGTCGACCCAAATATTGATTCGCATTGCAAGTGGACCTGAACCAGGAGCAGGTTATAGACTGTTGGATGCTCAGGGCAGCCTTCAGCGGGCTACAGGGGTTAAAGGAGGGATGACAAATGGCACCCCGAGCAGCGGGAGCTGTCCATCCAGCACCACTCTGCTCAACTCCAGCTGAAAACCGTGGCCTGGTAAAAACTTAGTGCGGCTTTGATGAGCAGCTTCCGGGCTGTAGTGTCAATTTAAACCAGCTGAAAGTCTTTATTTAAAGAACAAAGTTTAGTCAGATTTTTAGTGCTGATCATCTTAATGCACTGAATAAACCACTGTTAGACTGGGTTTTCATCCAGAGTCTGAGGGTAGAGAGTGTGGTGTAAAGAGTGTAAAAGCCCTTTGAGGAAAAAAATTGCTTTTTAGCTGTTTAAATACATTTACACATTCTGCTAAGAAAAAAAAAACCCTCAGTGTTTAATTTGATCCAAAAACAAGCCTCAGAGAATAATGAAGATTGAGAATCTATAAACATTTAGTCTGGTCAGTAATCAGAAGAAAATGAGTCCTGAAGAAGTGTCAGATCAGACAGTGTGTTTTCTTACCCACCCAGGGATCACAAGATGAATAACAAATTAGAAAAACCAACATGGGGTATTTGTATTCTATTCTGTTCTACTCTGTTCTGTTTTTAAGGGGGTAAACCATGGGGGTCATTGCATTTAAACCCTCTAATGTCTACACCACCAGGGCGTCCCTAATTTTTGCTGTCTTATCATGAAGTATTGGAGAAACACTAATTGGAGAGCCGTTTAAAACTTTTCTTCAATAATGAACAGTCAGAAAAGATAAAACCAGTCTTGAGCAAAACAGCAGCAGACATTATGCAGCCGGTGATAAGGGTTTGTGAGTAAGTGTTGGTTCACTTAAAAGCACCAAAAGTAAAAAAAAAAAAAAGTTAGCAGCCAGTGTTCTGAAGTATCTCAGTGTGAGGAGAAAGATGCTGCTCAGGCTTTTTTTTTTGCTTTTTACCCACGATACAGATAATGAACCCTTAAAGTGATGTGTGGCAGGTTGGCCTGCACTGAAGCTTTAGTGATGTCCCTCACTTATAAGTTGCTTTGGATTAAAGCGTCTGCCACATAAGTAAATGCGTATGTAAATGCTCCTTCCCATTCTGTCTTTGAGATTTTCAGTGTTTTTGCAGACATTGTATGGATGCTAGCTTCTGGTGGAGAAAGCTGTGGTCCTGTTTACTGTTGCTCAGGTCGTCTGGTTATCCCTTTAATACCCCTTTGACTTTAGAGGTCGTCTGTTTCCCCCTGAAGCCACCCATGCTGATTCCTCACCTTGCTGTGACCCTGCTCACAAAGTCAAACTAACCTGAAAGCTTCTTGCATCAAGTAACAGTTAAACAAAGCTGAAATTGTGAAGACGCGAAGCACGTTCAGAATCTAAAGGAGAAACGTTCACTTGACTTTTCCTCAGATATTTCAAACAGTTCAATCTTGTTAACATGATATCACACCCTGAGTCCTGTCCCGCTTCTCGAGTGTCTTCTCCACAGCTTTCTAATGATGCTGGAGGCCTGGGTGAAGTGGCTCGGCAGTAGAGGTGAAATAGCATAGTGTGTGTGTGTGTGTGTGTGTGTGTGTGTGTGTGCGTGTGTGCGTGTGTTGCCTCTTCGCTGAGCTGAAATACGGCCTGCTCACAATTCAATTCCTCCACCAGCACTTGCAATCATCTCAGCCATTCATTTAACACCTACCCTCTTTCTCACTCTCTGTCATGGACTTCCCCTGCCTCACACACACACACACACACACACACTTACACTCAGAGCCATAACACACCACATTTCCCTTCCTGTGTCCCCCGCTGAACCCCTTTGGAAGAAAAGTGTTATTACATTAAGAAAACTGAGAGCACTTATATGAACAGTGAAGAAGACATGTGGCTCTGTGAGTCTACTGTAACACCTAAACGCCCACTGCCATTATCAAAATGGTCTTCCCTAACATCGAGCAGTGGCTTACACCTTAATGTATCACTGCTAATATTTCCAGAACAGCTCATAATGGATTTCCTCCTTTATTTTAGTTTTTCTTTCTTCTTTTTTTTTTTTGCTGAACTCCTGTGGTCAGAGCAGTTTGTCGTCAAATGTAGCTACAGTTAATGTCTCTCAGCTGGAGAGAGAATCGTAAAACAAAGCATCATAAGATGAATCAAATTTATGGGATTGAGACTCAAAGAAGTAATCAAGCAGTAAACTGTGGTGACAGCATATCAAACTGGCTGCTTTACTGAGTGTTCTTTTCCACATTTTGGGAAATACTTAAAAACCAAAGTGTAAAAGTGACAGTTAGGCACTAACCAGCTCCTGACTCCAGCTGCTTATTTTCAATATGAGCGTGGAATCAATCTTCTACGTCTCTGCATGAAAGCAAATAAGCATTGTTCCTAAAATGTCAACTTATTATCTCTTTAACCTAATTTTCCTAAACACATTGCAGGTTTTTAGCTGCTCATCTCATATGGATGAAAATACACTAAAATGAAAGCTGAGCTCAAATTTCAATTCACTTCTGTTAACAAATCTGTGTTCAGTATAAATTTGTGCTGTTTGTTTTGACTTTAATTATAACCAAAAAAGAAGAAATGTACATATTATTCATTTTTTTGCAGCGACAGCACACCTGCAGTACTTTATTGTTCTCGAGGAGGGTGTGTGGACTTTTGTTGCCAACTGACAATTTCATCAAAAACAGTTTTGTAATATCACTTGTACAGTTTGCCAGCTGGAGGGCCGGAGTTGTTAGCTGATTAAATCCCATCTGTCCCATCTGAGATGTGAGCACTTCCTGTGTTACTGCATGACTCTGTACGTGTCTCTGTGTCGTGGTTGAAATCACACATTTACTGCCGGGAAGGATCGCTGAGGTTACAGGTTTACAGGCTGGACATTTTCCCAACAGCAACTGGACCCATGAAAGACGAGTTAGTCCCCCTCCTCTGTATAATGCAGGACAAAGACAGCACTGAGCAAACGCTGTCTACACTTTCACATTCTATGTTATGGATGAGAAATATGGATGGAAGAGATCTTCATATTTACGACTAACAAGCATTCATGTCAAATTCAGTTTTATGGTCACAGAGTTCATGTTGTGAGGGTTAAAATACTGTGTATTAACAATATAACACCATGTGTTATATTTATATATATGTAATTTTATATTATAATATATTTTATAATGGTCTTAATGGCTGATGTGAGACGTCCATATTGGTTTTGTTCTCAGGCTTTTCCATGTTAGGAAGTACCAAGTTTCAACTTTAAAAACAAAACAAAAAAAACACGAGTTTCCCCAGTGAACATGAAAGTGACGATGATTTAAGTCGCAAACTCGTAATTACGATAACTCTGCTATGATGTGAACGTGGCATTATGCCAACATGAATCTACAAATAAACACAATAGGCTACCAGCTGTAACAGATGTGTTGTGAACAACACAGACTATTAAACACATTTCACACAGCTGCAGTTGAATCCAAATGGAAAATGGTGTTTTGCTGCCACTGCTAGCAAAGCTGTGGAAAGATTAAAGTTAAAGTAGCATCTCCACAACCTGCTGCTGTCTGTTAATCAGCTGGTAGAGGTTGCTGCCTACACTCTCTTTAAACCCATTTTTTGTCTTCGGTACTTATAGGCACAGGTCAGCAAGGTTAGAGGCTGAGCTAACTACCTTCCACTTTCTGAGGACAATACAAACAGCACAATGGGGCCTTCCAGATGTTAAATGTTGTAAAGACACAAACTATCAGTTGTTAACTAACACTATGAAGGCTTGTTGAAAAAGAGGAATGACATGTAATGACATGCTGCTGTCAGTAGCACACAGGGAGCTGAACTCTCAGTCAGTCGCTGGAAAATGATTGACATTAGCTGTGTGTGTGAGGGGAATTCAAATCTTAGTTCGACTTAAAGCTGAAAATCTGCAGGTTAACTATTAAGAACTGGTGAGATTTAACCTACAGAGAAACAAGGATGCAGAGTGAAAGCATAAAAACTGCGTACTGTCCAAATACCTTTGCATCTGAGTGCAGTTACTCAATAGTTAATCAATAAAGCTGTGGCTTGGCTTCAAATCACTGCTCTTCCCCACTTTGGACAATTTAGGCATCCACCCACTTTCACATTACCGAAAGTGAATGAACCCCTTTCCAAAACATTAAGTCAGGTCTCACTGACGTTTTTGCAGCACTAAGTGCTTTCCCAGTCCTGTATTAGCCTAATTGTGAGGTTGTTAATCTAATAGGTAGTAGGAAAAATGAGTCAGTGGGGTGGTAGGGCAAAGAACACACATGATTTAGCTCTTTAGGCCGAACATCAGAGCTCCAGACTGAGGCTTCAAGATTACAGGAGTAATGAAACATCAGTGGCATTGAAAAAGTCCGTCCAGGTGTGGAACAGTCAGCAGCTTCTTTAATTATCCTGTGACTGTAGTTGTATCGTGGTGCATCCGCAAGTGTGAAACTGTGATCAAGCAGATTCTGGAAAACATGTGTTGTGTCATCATTTATCAGAAGAAAAGGCAAAAACATTATTTTATGAAATGAGTCTGTAGTTAATTCAACCAAACAAGCATTCTGTCTCCATTTGTCTGGACTGATTGTGTTTGTACAGTGTTATCCACTATGTATATTAG